TTTGCGTGCGAAGGACGAATAACCATTGTCCTTCTGTTCAGGCAACACATGCTGTGCTTTTGTTCTTCACACGGAAAACATGCAAATTCCCGGTTATATAGAATAGTTTACAGAATTGCTTTCACAACTTACAGTATTCGACACAGATTATAGTTTTGAGTGTTGTGCCCCAATGGCAATGCACCCTTACTTTATTATTTTAATGTCTCATAAATATGAGTCGATTTTGCTTGTCAATAAGGCATGCCTGTATATTTAGTTTTTTTTGCAGGTAGCCAAAAAAAATTTGCAGTTAGATCTGCGCGGTCCAAATTTGCCCTCTTCGCTTGAAGCTTGCAAACTGCGACAGGGGACCGGGCACCAAAGAATTTTTTTGAGCCATGTTTCGTATTGTCAAAATTAAGTGTCCGCTAATTTGCTTAAACCCAATTGCTCGAAACTTTTCATACATCAAGCCGACAAGATTGTCGGCTGATGAATAAAATTCGGTCACAAAACAGAAAATTTTAGGTTCTTGATGGCATCATTTGGTGAATTAACGTCTTGAGTACGACTCTTATTAATTCTGGTCGGTAAATATTGCAAAATGTATTCGGAAAAATTGAAATGTTCTACTTTACTTAAGCATGCGTAAGACTTTCTGGCCAAGCATTGCAGTTAGCTTCAGGCAGTTGCTGGTAGCGCCGTTACCTAGGATGACAGGCATGGTCAAGGGGAGAGTGCTGCCGCACTCAAATTTGTCAGGTTTGTATTGCAAGTAGGTGGCTCAGTTTTGAAGTTTTGGTTAGTAAAATGACCCCAGGTCCGTCAGCATTTTATAGAACCAGATACAGTACTAAAATGCGGTGCACTACAAATAAAATTAAATAAAATTCCCGTAATCTGTCCTGTGAAGTATCGTGTTGTTTAACTTACATGTAAGGGGCCTGGGCCGCTGTAATTGGCGTAAGCAGTAGCGTGTTCCCTGCCATTATCTATATATGTATTTTCTGTCTTTAAATATTGGCAAGGTTAAATAAATAAATAGAGTAAATAATTATAAGCTACTTGTGCATACAATGAGCAAAATTACTTTTATCAGATTTGATTGTAAAAAATTCATATCAATCTCTATTTTTGTACCATTATGCAATTTGTTAAAAAAAAGTATTATTTGAAAATGTGCGTGAAAAATAGATAATTAGGACCTGTTTATATGGAAACCAGGCTTAATAGCAAGACAGCCCGGTATAAAGCGGGATAAATTTCTCTTGTGTTTATATGAGAAAATTTCATCCCGCTTGCTGGGACAATTTTGTTGTTTTGACATTGTTGTGACAGTTGTTAAAAATAACTTGTGGCGGTATCTTTGCACTTTCATTCCGGCGTACCATTTATACGAGCGAAAATAAGCCGCGGCTTAAATAAGTCGCAAACAACTCGTTTAAACAGTCAATTTGCAATAAGCCGCGGCTTATTTAGGCCTAGCTTTCAACTCTGGGCTTATTTTAGCCGCGGCTTATTGCAAATTGACTGTTTATACGAGTCGTTCGCGACTTATATAAGCCGCGGCTTATTTTCGCTCGTATAAATGGCCCTAATGCAGTGTTATACAGACGTTGTATTTCAATAATTTCATGTGAGCAGGGCTACGGCGCTGTGTACGGCCAAAGAAATTACTTTGAAGAAATTACCAAAGAAATAACCAAAACTAAGCAGTTGATTAGAGAGAAAATATGGTTCCCATCAATTGATTCGATGGTGAAAAAGATCATCGATGCCTGCATCCCCTGCCAGAGCACCACTCCAGCTCACCCTCCAGTACCACTCAAAATGTCAAAGATGCCACTGACACCATGGCATACAGTGCACATAGACTAGGTTCACTTCCGACCAGAGAGCTGATACTTGCTGCAATTGATGCATATTCCCAGTACTCCGAAGTCGAAGTTGTACATTCAACATCAGCAGCAGCACTTATCTCGAAGCTGGACAGAATATTCTCAACACATGGAATTCCATACAAAGTTGTATCTGACAAATAGTATAGACAGTAGACACATTCACAAGATGGTCCGTCTACAGACAAGTTCGTCTACTCCTATTTGGCTATTTCTATTAACTGTGGTCTACTGAACAGGAATTAAACCAACCTCGTTCCCAGGCTCTTTCCTCTAAACCAGCTTTGCAGCCTAGTCCCTAGGCATCTTAGTACGCCTATTTCGCGTTTCTGCAGCTTTGTGATTACGTACACTTGATAACCTCTGTTTGATAACACTCTATGCAAATTAAACAGTAAACAACCAACACAATAACTGAAATTAAACGTATACGAAAGTCAGGTAAATGCGACTCATGCTCATGTTGCTTGTGCTTTAGATTTAGACGTGATCCATGCTAGCCTACGTGACCATGTCATTACATGCTCGTTTAACCACTCCGTCCTCCATTTAACGGACAGGAAATCAGGCGATACATGGAGATCCATGGCATTGAGTTTGTAACAGTCACCCCTTTATGGCCACAGAGCAACTCAGAAGCGGAGTCATTCATGAAACCATTGCTTAAGTCCATTCTAACAGGCCGAAGTTGGAAAAAAGAATTATTCACCTTACTCCTGAACTATCGAGCGACTCCGCACAACACCACAAAAATTGCCCCAGCCGAACTCCTGTTTAACAGAACAATTCGCACCAAGTTACCACAACAAAACACTTCATCAAAACCAATTGACAAGCATATCATGGCAAAAGAGAATGATCACAACTCCAAAAGTCACATGAAAAGGTATACTGATCAGGCGAGGCACACAAAGAAGACTCTGATTAACGTTGGTGATTTGATTATATATAAACAACAAAAGAAGAACAAGTTTTCAACAAAATTCAATCCAGCCCCCTACAAAGTGATCAAAGTCCACGGTGCCAACGACACTCTCATCAAATTACCAGAAACATATCCTATTTTAAGCGTCTTAACCTTGGTGAAAAAGAGCGACAGTACCACCTTGATGATCAACCGTCAGATGAAGAAGAGGATTAGATAGTAAGAAATGAACAGGATCAAGAAAACAAAGAGGATGCAAGAAGGTACCCTGCAAGGGATAGACAACGAACAAACTTTTATCATGATCCAGACTCGGCAGTTCTCAGTCATTAACTTATGAACTGGTAAATAGGGTCCAGGGTACCGTACTATTAAAAAATCTTGAGTTATAGTTTTGCATGTTCTGAAGTTAGAAAGTATTAAATGCGAAGGTAGGGAAGAGTGTGATGATGACGTCAACGTCACATACTGTATATAGACAACAATGCTTTGCGAGGACAGAACCTAGACCGCATGGCGAGCAGAGCATGGCGAGCTTGATATTATTGTATTTGAAAAACAACTTATAGTTAATAAAACTTGGATATTACAACCCTTCGAATAAAATTCCTTAATTATACCTGCAACTAATGCCTGTCGAATTTCCCTTGATGTCCAACATGGCGACCGTCAGGAGAGTGATGGTTTGTATTTGACACACAAAATCATCTTTTTGAATTTGTTTGCTGAAAATTTTCAAAAGTAGGAAATCGAATTATTCAGTTTTGTTCCTTATGGCAATTTTTCGTCTTAAATGCCTTGAAATATTAATAATAATAATAAAATACACCTCATTTTACGGACACAAAATCATGAACATGCATTAGATTGTCAAATCCTGCCGCATAAACCAGTGTTGTAATGAGTTACCTACAGGTCGAGTCGAGAGTCGAGTCACTTAAAGGTCGAGTCAAAGGTCAAGTCACGAGCCGAGTCGAGCCACTCAAAGGTCGAGTCACGAGTTGAGTCGAGTCATTTCAGTTTTTGATTGAGTCAGTGGCTTTACTCGAGTCGAGTCAGCGGCTTCACTCGAGTCAGGTCGAGTCACTGGTTTAAGTCGAGTTGAGTCAATTAGCCTTTCTCACGATGACGAATATCCGCCATTTTTGGGTGGCATCAAATTTTCATTATCCAATGCAGACAATTAAAAACCAATTTTTCAAAATAAACTAACCATTTACAAAGCAAATTTACCATCATTCGTCCAAAAAATGATAAAATGTCGCTGTTATGAGGACTTATTGCACAGACTTCAGCTGAAATGCCACCCAAAAATGGCGGCGTGAGAAAGGCTAATTGCTAAACTTGACTTAAGCTACCCTAGCTTGCAGTCAGAAATTAGTAATCAAATTTGCGTTTTAAAATAATTACTTTAATAGTCGTTTAATAACATTATCTGGGCAGCTACAGGCTGTGCCAATATCACAGTTCTAGTCAATATTAAGTACAACCACATGAGATGTCTCATCATTCCTGCTGACCGAGTGTATACGTACATACAACTAGCATAAGTTGCAACTGGAGTCAGAATTAACAAAGAATATACTTTAATTAACCAGGCTTTGTAAGTTAATTTGAAATTATATAGCCCTTCATAAATACCAAAAATGAAAATAGCTTGTCAGAATTAGTATAAGTACAAAAAAATTTGAGACTCCATTTTAAAACTGTGGCACTAGCATTGTTTCTAACAACAGAAATGTAATATAGGCATGCCCATCAGGAAATATGTATTCTATGCAAATCCCATATATTTTCTGCTAAAGTTTCGAAGTTCTCATTGTTTACAGGGCTCATTGTTCTTCCCAAGCAATACAATCAGAATAATTCTGATGAATTTACTCTGTACATGCTGCAGCTAGCTGAGTTGACTTGAGTCATTTACGGCAAAATCAGCAAGTCGAGTCCAAGTCGAGTCATTTGGGGCTATTGACTTGAGTCGAGTCATTTTTCGTATTGGACTCAAGTCGAATGTAGCAACTCGAGTTGACTCGAGTCCGAGTCAATGACTCGACTTGTTACAACACTGGCATAAACCCATAAAAAGTTCATTCCCTTTCATAAAAACGGAAATAGAGTTGTACAATAAGTTGTGAATATGTTTGTGATGTTACTCTGAGTGCATATCCACACCGGGCGAGCTTGAAAAATATGCCCGGCCACGGTGGGATTCGAACCTACGACCTTTGGAATACTAGCCCAATGCTCTTCCAACTGAGCTTACGCGGTCAGGACGGTTCGAGTAAGTGATATTTCGGAACAGTATCTAGTTCCTTCAATACCAATGTGTTCTTGTAATATGAATTTTTTCTGTGCTGGTGTTGTGTACTCAGGTGAATAATATGTTTGTGATGTTACTCTGAGTGCATATCCACACCGGGCGAGCTTAAAAAATATGCCCGGCCACGGTGGGATTCGAACCTACGACCTTTGGAATACTAGCCCAATGCTCTTCCAACTGAGCTACACGGTCAGGACGGTTCGGGTAAGTGATATTTCGGAACAGTATCTAGTTCCTTCAATACCAATGTGTTCTTGTAATATGAATTTTTTCTGTGCTGGTGTTGTGTACTCAGGTGAATAATATGTTTGTGATGTTACTCTGAGTGCATATCCACACCGGGCGAGCTTGAAAAATATGCCCGGCCACGGTGGGATTCGAACCTCGACCTTTGGAATACTAGCCCAATGCTCTTCCAACTGAGCTACGCGGTCAGGACGGTTCGACCGCGGTCAGGACGGTTCGACCGTCCTGACCGCGTAGCTCAGTTGGAAGAGCATTGGGCTAGTATTCCAAAGGTCGTAGGTTCGAATCCCACCATGGCCGGGCATATTTTTCAAGCTCGCCCGGTGTGGATATGCACTCAGAGTAACATCACAAACATATTATTCACCTGAGTACACAACACCAGCACAAAAAGTTGTGAATGTTATCAAACAAACATATCATATATATTATACCTGTATAGCTATTAGTATATAGCTATTATATATTGGTAAATATTCACATTTTTCTATTAAAAGTTTGTGTTTGTAAATTAATATATACCAGAATTCATTTTATAAGAGACATAGGCCTATTAAAATCCTGCAACTAAACAATATATATTTTAGAATTAAATATTTTTAGTATTTGAATCAGTTTAATGAAACAAAATTGATTGAAACTAGCTAGCTAGTATATATTATAAATACAGTATTTAATGTATTGATGTCGATTTCGTGTCCGTAAAATGAGGTGTATTTCAAGGTATAAAGACGAAAAATTGCCATAAGAAACAAAACTGAATAATCCAATTTCCTGCTTTTGAAAATTTTCAGCAAACAAATTCAAAAAGATGATTTTGTGTGTCAAATACAAACCATCACGCTCTAGACAATCGCCATGTTGGACATCAAGGGAAATTCTACCGGTACCGGCCGTGATAGGCATTAGTTATGGGTATCATAGAGGAATTTTATTCGAGGAGGAACAGTGACGGGGTAACACAAATCACTGTGACACCGCTGACATGATCTCACAGATATGATCGCGGCCGGGGGTCACAGAACGCCTAGGATAAATCGACTACCAACCAGGCCAGCCCGCTTGTAAGCTGTTTATATTGGAGAAATCTACATCCAGTAAGCAAGATCTCGCCTCTTTCAAGCAAGATCTTGGCAACCCGGGCCAGCCCGCTTGGGGAAAGTACAAAACATGGACCCCCGGTCCATGGACCCCTTGTCTGGACCGGGTCCATGGACCCTCTCTATGGACCAGGTCCATGGACCCTCTCTATGGACCGGGTCCATGGACCCCCTCTATGGACCCCCTCCATGGCCTGCATTTTTCCAAATTTCAATATTACTGTTAAACATGATTCGAGTTTTCAATTTTTAAAAATATTGTAGTGGTTTTAAAGCATACTTTTGTTCTTAGCAGTAAACCTCATCTACACTCCAGCGTTTTCTTCATACTAAAGCGAGGCTTGCTAACAACATATTATGACAAATTAATGCAGAAACCACTGCCAGGAAAGTGTTAAAATAATAAACCACTTTCATTGTTCATCTTAATTAGCCTTCTTGGTTAAATATACAAAAAAGTGTTTCAATTTGTCTCTTATGAAAGTGATCTAAAGGCACTGTTCATATAATCAGCAATTTGATTTGCTTCGATTAATACATTTAGCTATGCACTAGCTAGCTGGATGTATAAGTATTAATTGGAACAAATTAATAGAACAAAGTAAATTTGTTTTCTCCCTGTACAGCAGGGCACTTATATACCGGGCGGGGAAACAACCTCATAGTCATATAACTAATAATTCCCTTACGAAAAAAGTCTATAGGTGGCCTATAGGTGCCTATAGGAAGTGTTCCAATTCCCTATAGAAGCCTTTAGACACCTATAGAGCTCTATAGACTTATAGGCATCCCTATAGGTCACCTATAGAAAACGTTCCAATTGCCTATAAAAACCTATAGGTTTCCTATAGAAACCTATAGGTTGGCCTATAGGCCAGGCCTATAGACTTTTTTTGTTAGGGAAGTGCGCTGCTGTACAGAGTTACTTATATTCAGTTGCATTCAAAATTTCTGTTAATTAACATTCATTCATAGATGAGGCCATTGAGAAATTGCGGGTCTGTGGACCCGGTCCATAGAGGGGGTCCATGGACCCGGTCCAGACAAGGGGTCCATGGTCCGGGAGTCCATGTTTTGTACTTTCCCACCCGGTTGTCCCATATAAATGCACGAAAATTTTCTCTATAAAAATAACTACACAGATCTCGCTTACCGGGCTGTCTCGCTTGGTGGGCCATATTTGTTGTTCTTGTACAAGTGCTAGACTTCTTTAGATCCAAAATTTTAAATTTATTTTTGAACGACTATGTTGGGTCGTTATGTATTGTTTTAAAAAAATATTTATTTTTACTTGCAACAGATAATGTCAGTTAAAGAACAACTGGTAGAAAATTTAAGGGCAATATTTTTTATAAGTGCAAAAATAGTGTTGATAAAAAAAATGGGCCATGACGATGGGCCACCATACTCCTTTTGATTTCAATATGCCCAGCAATGAGCAACCAAACTACCAAAGACAAGATCGTAAAAATATGATCGTAAAAATATTATTAGACGGCTAGTATTGCGAACGGTATATTTCAATATTTGCAAACAACGACGAAAATGGATAAATTCATAAAATATATATGTCTATATTGTTACTATACACAAAGGATAAAACAAGGATAGAAATCGTACCTTTTACAACGGTGAAATTTGTATATTAAAATACCAAAGGTGCCAAGCCATCCCATATACAAATCTTGGCGAATCCCACTCATATTCTTTTCTCCCGTAGGCCGTAATCACAGCACTTGTGTTAGATTTTCCTAACACTCATCTTTCATCAATTCTTACAAGTGAAATGAATATAACTTCTGTTTAGTTCAATGGTTTCGGATGAGTTTTGCTTAAAATTATACTGACGAGTGACAAATTCGTAGTGATTCTTTCCCATCCAGCAAACTGACCTGACGTCATTTTCGGACGGCTGGTGAATTTTGCAGGTTGCAGGCTGGTTGCAGGTTGCAGGTTCGCGATTCCCTACATCCAGACGATGAATGAGATCAGTGACTAATCTCCACTTCCGGTTTTCATCACAAACAATAACTTTATTCAATCAAAAATACAGCAAATGTCCATAATTATAAGTTATACTAGAAAATACATGCATGCAGAAACCCTCGCCCTGCTCACAAAAATATTATGTTTTTCAAACATGAAGTATTGTCATGGTAACACGATAATAATTTTTAAGAATATCCCCCAAAATGATCGATTTCCCAAACATATATACGCTAGCCGCTAGGTATGTTATTATACGTATTAATATAAACTTCAATTTAATGTAAAAATCAACAACAAACACTTCGCAAAACGTTTTAAAATGTCCTTAAAACTAAACTGCCTTTTATCGGTAAACATTGAGTTTCAAAATCGAAATAAATCGGTTTCAAATTCTTGCATGGAAATCTCGATGGAAATAACCCGCCATCATGCGACAGAGATCATGCTGAAAACCGAAAGTGGAGATCAGTGACTGATCTCATTCATCTTCTGGATGTAAGGAATTGCAAACCTGCAACCTGCAACCTGCAACCTGCAAAATTAACCAGCCGATTTTCGGAAGATGGAAGACGTCAGTAAATGGCCATGTAACTAACTGAAACCCTACCCCTACTCTAATCCTTAACCCTAACCGTAACCCTAACCGAATTAGTAAAAAGAAAACAGAAAGAACGACCCTAGAAAATCGATAAGCCGGTTTGCCGGATGGAAAATAGTGCTAACCAGAATTGCGTCTTGTTTCCATGACAACCATATCTATGATCATATCACAACCACTGATGACAACGGCCAGCACATTTTTAAAAATAGGTGCCCCTGTGCGTTGTCGAAGTTCTTATTGTAGTGGGTTGTCCCATAATTATAGTACCTTCAGTAACATTAATGACAGTAACTAGCTTGGTAACATTAATACGGAGTGAGTTGAAAATGCGGAATAAGATGCGTTTAAAGGTGATCTACAGTCCGTATGTAAACAAAGCCTTTGTTTACATTTTTGAGTCCAAAATATTAAGCTTTATTCGACAACTATTTATATTTTCAAGCTTCTAGAGTATAATAAATGATCAAGAAACAACAATCAGGCTTTTCAAGAACTCAAAACATTGTTAAAATGTTTGTAAATAAAAAGTGGGCTCATTTGTGCACATGCGCAGACCAAGAAACGAGAGGCGAGAAGAAACTGCAGCCTCTGGTCACATCGGTTGCAAATCCCACTTCCACACTTGACTAGGTTCAGACTTCAGAATTTGAATCTCGCATGTGATTGGTCATTTGTAAATCAAAAATATGTCAAACCGGTTTGGGTTTATAAACATCACTATAAGCTAATTAGCTTGTGGTGTTATTCTGAGTGTATCTCCACACCCGGCAGGCTTGAAAAATATGCCTGGCCACGGAAGACATATTTTTCAAGCCTGCCCGGTGTGGATATACACTCAGAGCAGTGGCGTAGCCAGACCTTCATTTTTTTTTTTTGGGGATATAAAGATATATTCTGATTTATTATAGCAACACAACAAACAAAACAATCACAGACAAAACAAAATAAACATTGGCAGTCAAATTTTATTTACTATTTTGATTTTGAAGTAAGAATTGTTTAACTTTTCCATTAAATGAGAAATTCGGTTCTACGATGGCTTCGCTACTGTATTCTGCGTTTGGTTTCACTCCTGAAATTTCAAGACAGTCTCTTCGCAGGTACTGTGCTAGCTCGTCGGATTCCCCTTTTGCTTCGAGAGTCATATCTCTGTTGATTTTAATGTCTGCTTGAATGGTTCTAGTTGTTTTTGTAAGCCCTGTTATTTTCTCGTTAGTGGTCTTGGAATGTTCTAGCAGTTGATCGTATTTTGTCGATAAGAATTCTAAGGACGTGGTCATTTGTTTAAGGTTTCCTTCTACCGCAGCAAGCTTAGCGTGAACAGGCGCCAATTCTTTCTTCAATACTTCCTCGATTTGAGCTATTTCTGCCATGTTAACACGTTGATATACAAACACAAGTACAAACAAGGTCGCTATAAAAGATATTTTATTCGAAGAAACAAACATACATACATATACTGATCAGAACAGGAGCTTCGAAATAAGCTCCTCACATCACGACGAACAGGACATTTGAGCTGTTTCACCTGCTTATCTAAACTAATACTGGCCCCCCTTTCTATCGCAGCATGCACTGAAAAAATATTTTGATCATAGGACGGAACATACAATGCGCTATTTAACATTACTTCACGTGCATTACCATTGACGTCATACAGTTTAACTTTGGCATTTCCTTTTCCTAATACTACGTTGGCTTTACTGCCATCAGCGAGTTCTATGACATGCGCACTAGGATTAAATTCTTTATCAAAGTCCACAAATTTTGATTTGTCATTTATAATGTGATTTGTGGCTCCAGTATCTACTAATAAACTAGAATTATTCTTATTATTTATACCTGATTTATTAATTGTGTCCTTGGATGTAAAGGCAAATGTATGTTCATTGTTCTCACTTGACGTTGTCTTCTCGGCTGCTGTCTTCGCCGCATCTTTCTTCTTCCGGCAATTCTTTGTCTCGTGGGTTTTACTTTTACAATTGTTACACCATCTTTCCGATGCCTTCGACAAACACTCCGCGCTTTTATGTCCCTTTCTCCCGCATTTAAAACAGTTCCCATCGAACTTTTGCTTCGTCAACATGATATTCTCCCCCGCGCTGGCAGCCTTCCCACCATGTGTCTTTGCGCTTTCCTCGTGGCTTCGCAGCGCGCTGTTGAATTCGGCGAAAGTCATTTGTTTCTCTTTTTGCACAACTACCGTGGCAAACGTGTCGAATTCCCTCGGTAAGCCTTTCAAAACCATCGCGATTAACAATGCGTCGCTGATAGCTTCCTCGGCATTTCGTAACGCTGTCGCAAATGACTCGGCTCGTGTGTGTTCGATCATGAGCGAAAACGTCAAAACGAACGCGAATTTGTTTTATACCTAGGGTAGTTCCGCCATCTTGCAAAAAAACATCGTGCTCTCAGATTTGGTGACCAGACTTCTGCGCCAACAAGTGATCAAATGTCCCCTCATGTCCCCACAGATCACAGCATCTTGTCAAATGTCCCCAACCTCAGGCTTGTGTCAGTGAGCCAATGCCCGACCCTGGGGATGGCATTTGTTGTCAAATCCCCCACCTTCGCCCGTCCCCCCCCCCTCCGGCTTTACATTGATAGGTGCATTATTACAAGAGATACACACTCTGTGGAAGCATACAAGAACTTAGCCTGCGTGGCAGGCCCTGTAACTTAAGGGGGCTCCGGGGGAGGATTGATGGCCTGCAGTAAAGACCGTCTTTCATGACTACACGCCGTTCAGATTCTGGACGGTGAATACGATCACCTGATTAGTCAATACTAAGTCAGTGGAAAACCGTAGTATTTTGTGATTTCGGCATAATCTTGAACATCGATCGTGGCTATTTTTTCTTATTCAGCAGCGATACAAAAGATGATTTCACTGGCCAGTCGTCAGGAAATAGCACAGGATAATTGCAAACAATTAACGTGCATGGAGGTAAAAGTGTAAATACTGATTCTGATGTTGTATTATCTAAAAGTATTAAGCTCAACATTGACGGTTTGAAAACGTGTCAAGGGCGTTCGTCACTGTGGTCCAGCCACTTTTCGTTTGTAGGGTTTCGCGTCACAATATTCCCATTCGGACTGACCTAAAAGAAAGCACTTTTAATGATCTAAGCACAGTTAATTTAAGTGACAAACGCGGAACGCCCACGAACGCCCTTGACACGTTTTCAAACCGTCGATGTTGAGCTTACTTCGGTACATCGTCAGAGACTCAGAATCAGTATTTACGTATACATCCACGTTGTCTGCAGTACCTGTGCTATTTCTTGATGACTTGCCAGCGAGATCATCTTTTGTATTGCTGCTGAACAAGCACTTTTACGCGCAGATTTCGATTCAGTTCTAGACATACTACCAGTCTACCAGGAAAACCGCATCGCGGAGAACAAACGCGATTTGATTCAGTTTGGTTGAATGGACTAGTGAGACGGTCAGGAATTAACAGTTTACACTTTCCTGATGTTTCTACATCTTTGGGCTGGTAATGGTGTTGAAACGTCTCATGTAGTAGTGTAGTGTATTAACAAAAGATTTTAATTCCGTTACAAGCTCATGTACTTTTAGAACTTTTCTTGAAGCCAACTTTCTCACATATATAATCTGAGAGCACAATTCCGAAAGATTTTTTTTTTTGTGATGAAACATGAACAATTTTACTAAAATTGCAAAATTGCTGCTTAATTTAAAACAAGATTTATAAAATCTGCAATATTGTATTAAATTGTATTAATATAGTATTGAGTTTATAAATTCGCAATATTGTTTGATTGACATGTTTACGTGCAAGCGAATATTTTTAGAAGGCATATTGTAAACACTGGACTGGACTTTGGACTTTGGACTTTGGACTATGGACTATGGACTTTGGACTTTGGACTTTCGATTTTGAAATTATATTATTTTTAAGATTTTCGTATAATTATATTAATTAAAACCTAAACAGAGAACGAAAATTTGTGCATGATATAATATTCAAGGTAAAAAATACTATCAATTATATAGGTATACCAGTGCAATTTCATAGATATAGCCTGTGGGATAACAGGATCATCTCAGTAATATTTTTCAGTATTTAATATTGAAATTTTATTATAATATTTGTATTTATAGTATGTTTAGTACAGTTTATACTGCAGAACTTCTTCTTTATGGGGGGGGGGGGGGGAGGC